CATGGTTTCGTGGTACCGGAGATTTATCCCAGACATCGCCACCGTGACGGCGCCTCTCAATAACCGGCTACAGGCGAAGGCACGCTGGGAGTGGGGGACGGCCGAGGAACAGGCGTTCCAGACAGTACGAGCACAACTCGCCACCGTACCGGTACTCCAATGCCCGGACTTCACGAAAACCTTCGTCCTACAGACCGACGCCAGCGACGTAGGATTGGGGGCCGTCCTGACACAGGATATCGACGGACAAGAACGAGTCGTGGCTTACGCCAGCCGCACGCTCCGCCCAGCCGAGAAAAATTATTCAGCGACCGAAAAAGAATGCCTGGCAGTAATCTGGGGAATAGGAAAAATGAGACCGTACCCAGTGATGTTAGATTTGCTCCCTTTTCGGGCATGCGCAGTGCAAATCTAGTGAAATCCAGTAACGTCTACATGCTCAGAAAGTGGGAGCTTATTGTTTTGGCGGGACGGCCGGCGGAAACCTCGCAGCGAAGAGGATTATAACCAATATGAAGGTAAGATAAGTTGGTACAAGTATTTTAGTTAATATTATTACAATTTAGGTGTGCATTATGGATCCAAAAATTATAATTTTTATAGACATATAAAAATAGGGCCTTCACAGGACCTTTATATATCAGAGGTTACTACTTCACTGATGCCATATTGCACTGCGCATGCCCGAAAAGGGAGCAGATCTAACATCACTGACCGTACCTCGAAGGATACCACTTCCGCGTCATCACCGACCACTTCTCCCTACGGTGGCTACGCACACTGGAGAACCCGACCGGCAGACTGGCGAGGTGGGCCGTATCCCTGCAACAACATGACTTCGAGGTAGAATACAGACGAGGGTCACTGAACCACGTCCCCGACGCGCTGTCACGCCAACCTGTAGAGGAGGGGGAGGAGTGCACAACCACAGAATTGGCCACAGTCAGCCCGACGGAAACATGCACATGGTACGAGCGGACAAAACAGAAGATAATAACGAATCCACAGCAACACCCAGACTACAGGTTACAAGGAGGATATCTATACCGACACTTCCAAGGGAGATACTCCAATAACGAGGACACCGACACCACCGCCTGGAAATTATGCATACCCAAAGACCGACGGGAACAGACGCTACGAGAATGTCACGACGCCGACACAGCAGGACACCTCGGGATCACCAAAACGATCGCCCGACTCATGCAACACTACTACTGGCCAGGCATGACGAGGGAAGCAGCAAAGTACGTGCGCCAATGCAAGAGCTGCCGACTCCATAAGGTGCAACAACAACAAACGGCCGGACTCATGCACCATAGCCAGGTGGCAGAACCGGCAAACATCATAGCAGTGGATCTGATCGGACCGCTACCACGCTCAGTAGACGGAAACACTTGGATACTCGTGGCACAGGATACGTTCACCAAGTGGGTTACCGTTAAACCGCTCAGACAGGCCACCGCCACGGCAGTAACCAAGGTAGTTAAAGAAAACGTCATCCTCCAACACGGCTGCCCCAAGAGGATAATCACAGACAACGGACGACAGTTTGAGAGCAAGAAATTCCGCGGACTACTCGAACGGGCCGGCATACAGCACCGAAAGACACCACCGTACTCGCCGCAATGCAACCCGGTGGAACGGGCGAACCGAACACTAAAAACAATGGTCGCACAAAGTATAGAGAAGGACCACAGGCGATGGGACCAGAAACTCCCGGAGCTGGTCTTCGCGATGAACACCGCGGTACAGGAGAGCACCGGATTTACCCCGGCCAGACTGACATACGGACGTGAGCTCACTGCCCCGGGAACGCTACACGCACAATGCCAACCACCATTAGCAGACGACACCGACGAAATAAATACCACAACACGCGTCCAACAGCTCGATAGGATGCCAGAGGAAGCCGCGACCGCCACCGCACGACAAAGGGACGCCACATACCGTCAGGAACAGTACTTCAACCTCCGCCGGCGAGAATGGCGCCCCGCTCCCGGAGATCAAGTCATGCGCCGAGAACATCCGCTGTCAAAAGCAGGCGAACACTTCGCGGGCAAACTAGCACCAAAATATTCCGGACCGTATACCGTTGACCGAGCAATCTCACCGGTCATATACCGACTACGAGATCACAACAACCGGCTGGTGGGGACAGCCCACGTGAAGGATCTCAAGGGTATATAACGTCACACAAAAACAAACGGAGCCGGGTATATAAGGGAGCACTCGCACCGAACACCAAAAAGAAGGCGACAAGATGGGAAAACTGCGCGCACGATTCGAGAAGCTGGTTCCCAGAAGGAGGGCCCCGGGACACCCGCCGACACCGGGACTGACGCCGCAGGCTCCCCGATACATACCGCCCGCCGAAGCAAGACCACGAACGGCCCGAGCCTCGGTGAGCATAGAACAACGGGGACGGGCACCCGCGGTCGTACGAGCAAGGACGACCGTCTCCAGGCAGGCGCAACTCTATCAGACCGCCGCCCAGACAACCGCCGCCCTCGCCTCAGAGCTCGATGCCCTCTTCGGCTCACTGTCGGACCTCGAGGACGAGCCGGTGACCACCGCCGAACCAGCCGCCGTAACAACGGCCGTAGCAGCTGCGACAGAGCTGCCGACGCCTCCGCCGACACCCGCCGCGACACCGGAGCCAGTACAGTGACGAACCCAGCGTCAGGACCGCCTCCGGGCTACGGGTATTTCACCGGCGACAACGGAGACGGATTCAACGGCCTCCTCCGCGACGTACCCTGGCACCGCATCCGCCCAGGACAGCGCTACCGCCACCACTCCGCCGGCCGCACCATCATCATCAAGCGTCTACGCAACGGCGAAATCCAGCTCCGCGAGCGGACCTAAGACATTGTCGACGCAAATAAAGAATAGTGTTTATTACGATGTCGGGATCTGCCAGGGGGGAGGTGTAACGTGACAACAAAGAGCAACGTTGCTCCCCACCCTACGCTCTTCCCCTGTCTCGTTTCTAACCCCCGCGCCCACGAACTTACTGTATAAAAAGGCCCGAGCGAGCCGAGAAAGGCAGAATCCTCCGACCAGCGAGCTGAGCAGGTCGTCTCCCCGGAGAAGGCGTAGTGAGCCGAACCCGGTACCCAGAACCGCGCGTTGAGCGGAATCACTCACCTAACCTATCAAGACACGCGCTGAGTGTCTACCCCAGGCCGCGTATTGAGGGGTGCCATCGTGGCAGCGATAGTGTACGGACGTGTGATATAGAGCTCCTATATAGGAGTATCTATAGTGTGGTTATTGTTGCCAAGTGGCATACAAAAGTGGTATCGCCGTGTTCGGCGTGATTTACATAGTGAGTGAAAGTGGAGGCAGAGTGGTGACTGTATTAATTACGGAGGAATTAACATTAAAAGTTGGAATCGCTGCTACATGCCATGTCACCGTGACAAGATGGCCGGCTCCCCCGACTCACTTGCCTCTACGTGACTGGACTTTATACAAATTTGTGTGGAAAATAGCCCTTTTCAGGGCTTAAAAAGGACTCAGTCTGCTCTGTAGCGGCTCTCCGGAGGTCATTGGTGCGTTCCCGCACCGGAGAAGTGCTGGATAACAGCGGATTCAGAAAACTTTCCGTGAGGGACGGTTGCCGTGCGGTACAAAGGACGGGTGCTGTAATGGCCGCGTATGTACGGCGGGCCATGTAGACTGCACGGCCTGAGACTTTTCCTGGCGGACGAGTAGAATTTCGGTCCGTATTAAGACTTTACGTGTACATCGTTTCGTCTGTGATTGTAAATTAGGCTTAAGGCTTGCGCGCGCGTTGCGTATACTGTGGTTGCGGACTGTATCGGCAGTACCGCCATTTTGTGTGAACAGCGGACATCGTCCGCGAGGGGCTTATCCCCGTGTTCGTTGTCCGGCGACCGGGCGCTATTTCCCGGCGGCGGAGGGATACGCGGCGGCGCCGGGATCAGCGGTACCGCCGCCATTGTGTCGGTCACGCGTTCGGTGCGCGGAGTTTTCGCTGGCCGGCGGGGTAATAAATCTATATTTGCGGTGCCCTTCTGGGCTTGTTTGAGGGGCGCCCTTGCGTCGTCGTGTGTGCCGCGGTCGTCGCGCGCCGTGTGCCTTGCCCCGTGTGACGTGCTCGTCCTCGTCTTCCAGACGGGCCACGTAGTGTAGCGTCTCTTTCTACACGGGTAACGGGCGATCCCGTGCTTCACTGAGGCTCTAGTGATTCGCGACGTTGTGCTGGCCGCGGGGTGCGGTGGCCGCCGGCCGCTCGTGTCCGTCGGCGCGGTGGTTTTGCGCGTTTTGTGCGTGATATAACGCCACTTTATCGGCGGCTGAGAGAAGGCATCGCGTTTGGCGCGGACTTGCGAACGCGCCTTTACGCGTGAGCGAATTACGGGGTGTAGCGTCGCCGTGGGCCGCGTGCCCTGGCCTTCGGCCCCTTGGTCGTGCTAGAGGTTAGGGGCGCCGTCGCGACGACGGCTTGCGGCGGTGGCGAGCGTATTGTGGCGCCATATTGTGGTGACGCGTGGCGCGTCGGACTCCCGGTGCGTGTGTCAGCGGGAGACGTGACGGATTACCGCAGTCGCCCGGGGCTGTCGGGTCCGGGGCGAGATTGCGTGTCTGTGTGTTCTGTGCGTGTATTCGTGGGCGAGCTGCCCGTTTATGTGTAGACTCGTGTAATGTGACGTTTAGTGTGGGCACTCTCGGTCGTTTTTTACGCGTTAATCGGGAGTTTTTTGTGGCTTCAAACGTACGGGGTGGATCCACGGCTGACGGTGGTCGTGACCACTTGGTTTTCGGTTTTAAAATCCATTTCCGGCTATCACTTTTAGGTAATCCGCACCTCGAAAAGTTTGATAGTCTATGGTTATTACATAAGTCTGCGTGTGCTCCTGAAGACGTTTAGCGGGCGTTTTGCGGAATCGGGAATATTCTCCGGCTAAGGGTTTTTCGCGGATAACGCGCGAACCGGACTACCTGGAGCGCCGGCTCCGGGGTGGTTCGTTTCAGTGGAGGGCCGAGCATCGTTGCACGGCATAATATTTCGTGGTCATCGGGGAACGGGTTGCGGGGTCGTCGGTGGCGCCGTCGCCGGGGCTGGTGCCCTGGCGTTCGTGGCGCGGCTCGTCTTGCGATCCGGTACCGTCGGCGGTGACGTGGGCGCGGCGGCGGTGCGCGGCTGTATAGCCGCCATATTGTCGTTCGCGTCGTGACGCGTCGAGTCGCCTCCTCGTTTGGCGTCTTCTGCGGAAAGTGCGTGGCCCTCCGCGTGGCCGCGAGTGCAGGGGGGTGTTCCGCGGGCTGTGCTCGACCCGGGACATTGGTGGCGGCGGTCGGCGTGGTCGCCCTGAGCCGCCGTGAGTGTCGTAAGTGGCGTGTCGTTTTCGCGCTCTGAGCTTGCGGGGAGCCTCGTGCCGGGGCTCAGCGAGTGTTCTGGAGGCCGGTGTCGGCCTCTCCGTGCGCGGGGTGCTCGGGCACGGTCGTGCGTGTGCGGGCGTTGTCCGGGTGACGTGCGGATCGTGGGCGTCGTGTTCGGCGCGATTCTTGGCGTGCGGGGCTTTGCCGCGTATGCGGGGGTGCGCGGGGCGGGGGATGGGCGACGGCTTAGCCGTAGTGGAGTGCTCCGCTCTGTCGTGCGTGTAAATTGTGCAGTACGGGTGTCGAGAGGTTATCGGGCGTGATCGCGTCTCGCGAGCCGTAGGGCCGCTTTTCATGTAACGACGGCGCGCCCGAGTTTGTTCGTATTCGAAGGTTTCGTTCTCCCGTTCATCCGGGATTTTGAGGGACGTGGACATCGTGCCCGCGGGCTGGATCAGTGCGCGCCATATTTTTGGTGATCGCGGTGGTGCCCGTGATCGCGGTGGCGCTCGTGGTCGTGAAGACGCTCGCGATTGGGCGGTGATCTTGAGCGAGTGGCGCTTCGGAGTGGCGCGCGTGCTGCGCGGTATTTTGTCGGGACGCTGTTGCGCGGCGCTGTTACGCGCCTGCCGTGTCATTTCGAGTCGGGATTTTGAGCAAAGTACTGATCTTGAATAAGGTTATAAGACTGTAGCACCGTGTGCTTCAGGCGGTGATCGCGCGCTTGATATGTCGAGAGTTGCGCGGTTTTCATGCTCGGTTGGCTCGCGGGGTGTGCTCGTGTGAGTTAGAGTGACTGTATATATTGTATATATATTGTATAATATTTTGTGTCGTAATTAGTGACGGGCGAAGGTAAGGTTGCTTGCCCGTCATTAACTTGTCTGTTCCAGGTAGACGGGTGCGCTTGCCTTTCTCAAGGCACGCACGGGAAAAATAAATTGCTGCCCTGCCTCGTTTTACAACAGCGGAGGAACACCTTGTATATATTTATATTTTATTGTGTGTTTCCTGCCCTCTTCTCTTTTCAGGAAAGTGCTTGGGCGTCACGAGTGCGGGGGGCAGTTTATTCCACGTGTGGGGTGTTCGTGACGGTCTGACGGCTTGAGGTTAGGCGCGTCGCGACTCGAGAGGAGGGCTGTGTGCTAAATGTCCGTGACGGTTTGAGGTCTGAGCCCGTTGCGACTCGAAGGGGGGTTTAGAGTTCCTCGTGGGCTCGTCGGTGGATGATAACCGGGGTGTAGCGGATGGTTGCTTCCGCGATACGTAGGGGAAGTAGACTCCGCGTTCCGGGGTGGACTCGGTTATCGCTTTGAGGTTAGAGTCGCGCTTGCTTGCCGACAAGTGCGGGGCGGCCGGCCGCGATTGAGATGTGCCCTTTTGGTTCTGGCCTTGGGCTCGCATCGGCGTGGAACGGAGCTAGCATTTTTTGAGGTTGGGAAATTGCGCCTCCGTACGTGGGTGGAACCTCTCGTGTCGTTCGCTGCCCCGTGGGTCGTGCGGTGGCGGTACGTTGTGGTATTTGTCTCGTATGTGGAAAGATAGCTTCGCGTTGAGGGGTTGGCGGTTTGAGGTTAAGTCCTCCTGCACTTGACGTCCGACAACAGCGAGGCGCATTATAGGTTATAGGTGGTATCTGACAGGTGGGGTGGTGTCCCCCTGTCACGGGCGGAGCTGCGATCGCGGCAAGCAGTTCTCTACGAGGACCACGGAGGTAAAGGAGGGAACATTAAGATCAGCTTGTAGACGCGGGTGTGAAGCACTGGTGGGGAGGGGGATTTCGTCGTCAGCCATGTTTTTATGGGCCACTCGTAATGCCATCTATCGATACTTAGCTGTATTATCTGCATAATATTGATAATGTAGAGACACTTATAAATAAATATGAGAAATAATATGCACACATAATTTATTGTCCTCTAAATAATATTAATTTATTGAATATATGTCTTTGAGTTACAATAGTATTCTTCTGTTTTGCAATATAAAAATAACGAATGTTAATATATTTTATAACAATACTTTTTATCAAATGCGTTTTATGACAAGTTAAAAAACCTTGATCATTACAATGGCTTTTTAAATCATCAAATATACTTTGTCCGTGTAGATTTAAGAGCACACTTTGGGTAATATTGTGCAAAGTACATTTTGAGTTTAATATATCATCAGGTTTTTCTTTTATAATAAATTTTAACATTTTTTCTGTTTCAAGACATATTTTTATAACGCTTAGAGATGGAAATATTAAACTGCCACGATCTTTAATTTGTATGAGTCTTCCTATTTTTGTATTACAAATCAAGGCATTTGTACATAATTCACATATAATATTTCGCCTTAAATGTCGAACAATATATCCAGCGATATAAGTTACAATTTCCTTCACAAATTCAGTTAAATAAGTAGTATGTGATAAAGCTATAACGTATGGGTGATCATGATCCAAAGCAAAATTATTTACATAGTTTTCATTATTAATTTCATAATCATCTATCATACGCACAATTGTCGAAGTTCTATTTATTACTTCGTCCGATTTAAAGGCAGAAGTGGTATTTAATATCGGAATATAATCAAAGGGTATGCAATTTCCCGTTGTGGCACCTTTAATCTCTGCTCTAATCAATAATCTTTTAAACGCTGCTTTGAATTGAGTAACAGTGGGATTATTGTTTTGACGTCCGAATGCTCGAATGCATCCAAAGAATATTTCCAGATGATCTTGACTTATTTGATATAATGGAATATATGGTACAATTTGTTCCTTTTGGCATATATCTTGATACAACATTTTTAAGCTTTCGATATTAATGAGAAAACCGAGAAATCCCGTTTTACGCTTAGAATGTATTAATAATTGTTTATTTTCAAGTTTTAAGTTCGACAAATATTCTTTGCATTCCTCTAATTTGCATAAAATCGATTCATAATTTTCCGGATTTATAGGACATTTATAAAACTTTTGTCGCAGATTTCGAGAATTGAAGATATCAAATAAATCATTGATCATTTGCAAAAATTCCTGTTGATTGTGGGAATGCTCGCAATAAATGCCGCTTTTAGTTTAGCTGAAATGCTTTATTTTATAACCAACTTATCTCTTTCGCCGCACAACATCTCCGCCATACTTTTCGTTACTACTCTCCTTCTCTTCCCCTTCCCCAACGCTAGCCTCGACGACCTGCCACTGCGCAAGTCAAATCCGCTCTCGCGAACATTCCGCCTCCCTTGAAAGAACTATCTTTCAACGAAACCTATTCGAGACTATCAGGGCACTTCTATAAACTATCAAGAAACGGATCATAAACTAAATAGCATATTACTACCGCTTCGCGTAGAGAAACAAATCTATAACTAGAGATCATAACCACTAAACTAACGTAATTCTTATTCTATTAATAACAGTTCTTAAGTAATACAACTGAGTTCTCGCATTATTCGGTTACATCTTCGCGTGGTAATGGGCAAAGTTTTTTGACGGGTCTTTTAAATTCACCGCTCTGTGTCTTGACGGTTACTACTCTCACCACGCCGTCTTGTCCAGGATGCAAAGCTGTGACTCTTCCCAGAGCCCATTGTAGTGGTGGGGTGTGGTCTTCCTTTATCAGAACCACAGTATTCAACTCGATGTTGTCTCCTGAAGCCGTCCACTTTGTTCTCGGCTGCAACTCGTTCAGGTATTCCTTGTGAAAGCGGACCCAGAACTGCTGAAGCAATCGCTGCCGATTCTGCCAATGGGTGAGACGATTCTCTGAAATCTCAGTATAATCATGTTGAGCAGGCTGTATAAGAGAATCGCCTATCAAAAACTGTGCGGGGGTCAAGACCGACAAGTCGTTTGGATCGCTAGATAACGGCATGAGGGGCCTCGAATTCATTATAGCTTCAATCTGGGATAATAATGTACTGCACTCCTCGAACGTAAGCACCCTTCCTTTGGTCACCGTGTACAAATGTCGTTTGGCGACTTTCACCGCCGCACAGTGGGGCGAAACCTCTAAAAATCGGTCAATGGACGAAAAAAAAGTTGTACCTATAAATCCCTAGTTGAAGCATATTTTCTTATTTTTTACACTTTTATTCATCTAAAAATATGATTATAACATTAATTTCTATTGGTATTTATACTAATAATATTTAATGAAGTTAGTATTTTGTGGTAGATCGTGAATTCTCGTTAGATTGTAGGTTGATTTTAAGAATTCCTAGGTTGGAAATAAACAAAAACTCTTGTCGAATTTCTGCTAAAACACAATAAGTAGGTTCTAAAGATAG